TTCACCTGTAACAGCAGGTGGTGTATCTTCACCAGGGCAGACCTGCTGGCTGGTTCATCTCAGGACATTCTGTCAGGATGTTCCCCTTCAGAAATGGCCTCAGGCTTGCCTTATGTGGTAGAAATTTAATGGTGGAAGTCGCCCATATGATAGGATCCTTTTAGCATGCATTGCTTTCAGTGCTGCTGGATGAAACCCTGAGCAGCACAGCTTTACATTAACAACTGTGTGGTTTCCTTAACACTGTTCCTGAAATGCAGCGAAGCCAACGCAGGTGGCCTTGCGTGCGGTGGCTTAAACAGATCTCTGCCATGATTTCGCTGGATTTCCTTGGCTGGTGGTGCTGGGACAGCAAAAATTTACAGTGGAGGTATCTCAAGTTTGAGCAGCAAATGGAATTTTAATAGCAGGCCTCTGGTCTTCCATGGCATGCACTTGCTGGCATGTGTAGGTAGAGGCTTTTTGAGGTGGTGGCTGCCTGAGGGTTGCAGGAGTGACTCTGGGTGTTCTTTCTGGAGGCATGGTTCCTGGACCCCCTGTTTCCAGGAGAAGGCAGGTCACTGGGGAGAAAGGGTATAGATCTCAATGAGATGCCTTCAAGGTGAGAAGCTATAGTGTTGATCCTTCCCTGTAGCTTTGGAGGAGGCTGAGCTGGGTTTTGCTTGTCACTTCCTTCCCCTCTAGACTTCCCGCAGGACTGCAACTGAAGAAAGGTGTGCAGGAAATAAAGGGATGAAACAGCTGATTTTTATTTTAACTGCCTTCTTTGGCAGTCAAGAAAAATAAGTACCTTTCCAAAGGATGTTTTTGGCAGGATGGGCAGAGTATCTAAAGACAGAAGTCTCAATTCATTGTAAAACTGGCTGTCTCTGAATCTGCAGGAGACACCCAAGTCCCCCAGTGAAACGTGTAAGAATTAATCCCTGCTGGTAACTGGTGATTTAGATTTTGTGCTTGTGAACTGAAAATAGGAAGGGTCTTGTAGCCCCAAAGGGATTGTGCCTTACTCTTACTATCAAAGTGCATGAGCAGTGAGACAGTCTTTCCTGTTCTCTGAAACAACTTGAGTAAAAGTATCAAACTGTGTATCCTGCGAACAGTGCTTTCTTGGAAGTGCTGCCCAAAAGAGGGCACCATTGGCATTATGAAGATGCCTGATTGCTGGCCAGTAACTACAGTTGGTGCTGATATTTTGTTCAGAGACTGCAGATATCTTTTCTGTTTTTAAATGCTGTGCTGAGCAGCTACAGTTGAGTTCACAGTTTCATCTGTTCAGAGGTGTCCCCCCCTCCCCTTGCCTGTGGAGTTGCGCTGATTGCAAGACCAGATCTGTTTTCATGTTTAGTTTGTCAAAGGTTGCCTTCTAGTGAATGCAAAAACAGCTCTTGATATGAAGTTTCTATTTTCCCAAGTGGAGAATGTGGATTCTTGCACTTATCTTCTCTTTGTTTCTGATAGTAGCATCTTGGTAGCTGCATGAGTCTGTTTACGTGACCCTTCTATTGAGAACCTCAAGGTTACCGTCACGTGCTGTTCCCTCCTGTCACACTTGTGCAGCTGTACGTGGTGTATGAGGCTTCAGGCATTAGTTTTGAGTGCTGGAAGCCCTTTTCTTCTGGCAGAAGATACCTCCTGTATCTGCACTGCTAACTTCTGTGTTGGGTCGCTGCTTTTCTTTCAAGGCAGAAAGGGAGTATCAAAAGATTGGGGGTATCTTTTAAGTTGTGAAAAAGTGTAAGTAGATTGCTGCAACCAGAACTAAAAAATAAATGCTGTTCTCAACAGCTTTCAAACTGTTTCAGACAATCCATGTGTCAGTTTGTGACATTAGGTTGTAACTGCCCAGAACTGTGTTTTGCGCTTGAAGAGATTTCTTGTGGCTCTTTGCTGTATGGATCTGTGGTTATGACAGTTGTTTCAAATTTGCCTTCATCTTTATTTATGCTAGTATCAGGCATTTACAGTATTAATCCTACAAAAGCCATGCTTAGTAGCTTACCATAATATTGGTTTTGCTGGTTTTGGAGTTCTGATTTCCCTAGCTGTCACGAAAAGCTGCTGCCATGAAAAGGCTACCACCATATTAAAAATTCTGCCAAATGGAACAAATACAGGGAAACTAGTGTTTATTCCAAGTGGAACAGGTTCTTACCATAACTTATATGGAAGTAAACAGGTGTCAGTTGTATGTTCAAACAGTGTTGCTCCTGACTTAATTTCCTGTCAAGTAGAGTCCGTTGGAAACTCCCCATTCAAATGACTGGAGGATGGGATACTCTTCAGTCAGGGACTCCATCTCAGGAAAATGCTAATTGAAACTTCAGAACAGTAGTGCAAAAAACCCCGCAACCCTATAATTGAGTTGACTGGTAACAATGCTTTTTCTGGTACATAGTATGATTTTGAGAAGTAGAAATTGTGCTTCTGACAGCGTGGCTTAAAAAACAAATGTAATGAGTAGTGACAAAATATGCAAAGACATTAACAAAACACTTAATGCGTTCCAAATCTCTAAAGGAATTAAATGATAAATTTATATATGCCTTTTTGAAGAGTAGAGCTAGCAGTGACATTTTAAAGCAAGCTTAGAAAAGAAAAGCATAAAACCTCTAGTAGCAACATTTCTGTCAGTCTGAATGTAGACCTAGAGCAGAGAGAAATTCTATTGCTATCAAAATGTGTGGTATTGTCAGCTTTCTCTCTTCCCCTAGAATTTGCGTAAGTATGTGATATGAACAAGGAAAAAAATGCCCTTTTCCTCACTGAAGATAAATAGTATGCCATGAATCACCATCTAAATAAGATGGCATGAAAACAAAAGTATCAATGTGATGCTTTCTATGATTCTGGGTATTCATTGATTAAATTAAAAGATCCATCTGTACCTAAATATAATTATAGTTAAGACTTCAGCGGAGGAGGAGAAAGCTGAGTTGTCAGATGGAGTAACAGTACTTTTCTGGTTATGGAACTGTCTTGTGCATCTGCCCCATCTAGTAAAGGCTGCTTGAGAAAGGAAGGAATCATCTAGATGCTACTCTTGCAGTCTCAGTTTGTGTGTGCTATGTAAATGGCAATATGTTGACATTACAGAATTTTATACCAAGTATTTTGTTGTCTTGCAATATTCTCTTATGTTTTTAGATGTGGAGGATGAAAAGCTGTTTCTAAGCATGTGGTTATAGCTTCATCTTTTTTCAAAAAACAAAACCTAGCTCCTGGAGCTTGCGGCTTTTCCTGTTGTATTCATTTAAACTCAGACAGAAACAGTGTTTCAAGCTATACTGTACAGCAACATTTTGACAGCTTCCAGACTAACCAGGTAGTAAAAAAAGTCTATTTCGTTGATGCGGCCTTGCTTTATACTAGGAAAGATCATAAGTGTCTATATATGATCTGGGATTCTTCAGATATTGGATAAACTTGCAAGAAAGTTTAATGCAGTCCTCAAAAAACGTTGAGGTATTCTTACATATATGATATTCTCCTGAACCTTTCCCTTTTCTTTTATGTGAAAGGCCTGCGTTAAGTGAGATGTTTGAGGATGGTGGTTTTAGTGGTGGGCTCTGCAGTAGCTGCTGTTGAAGGTAAAGCAGGTGAGGCACCAGCAAAGGTAGTGTGCTCTGTAGCTCCCTTGAAGGATCTGAAGCCGTTCAGACCAGGGATCCAACGGGCTGTTTTGTATTTGTGACCCTGATGAAACTTCTGGATTTTTCAGAGACTAGCCCTTAGGAGTCTGGGGAGGGGGAGGAGGAGGAGGCATTTGTAGCTGAATGGTTTGTAAATACAGGAAAGATGGGACTGTGTTGTGACATCGGACTGATTCTCCTCAGGGTGATTTTAATTTGAAAGCTTTAGTAAAAACACTAATTGTTTGTTAACTGCTTAATTGTCGTTACAGCTGATGGGGTAGGAGAAAGGTGGTAGGAGTTGAATTGTGATGGGCTGACATTGCTGTAGGTCTGAAAGTAAAACATAAAAAAGCAAGGAAATAAGGCAGAAAAGCCTTTTATTTCTTTTTTTCCCATTTCTTTTTTTTCCCATTTCTTTTTTTCCCATTTCTTTTTTTTCCCATTTCTTTTTTTCCCATTTCTTTTTTTCCCATTTCTTTTTTTCCCATTTCTTTTTTTCCCATTTCTTTTTTTTTCCCATTTCTTTTTTTTTCCCATTTCTTTTTTTTCCCATTTCTTTTTTTTTCCCATTTCTTTTTTTTTCCCATTTCTTTTTTTTTCCCATTTCTTTTTTTTTCCCATTTCTTTTTTTTTCCCATTTCCATTTTTTTTTTTTTTTTTTTTTTTTTTCATTTCCATTGGAATCTCCCTGTTTGGCTGTAAGCAACTTTGATTAAAACCATGCCTTTTAATTCTTTGGTCAGATCCTTGACAGAGGGATAGCTTCAGATATCTGAGTGGCCTTGGCTTTCACTGGAGACCACTGACCTCTGACCTGGGGGAATGGTCTTGATATAGGCAGGTGAACTTGGTATTGTTGATGTTTTTGGATTGAAGGCTTCAGTTCCCATTGCAGATTTTCTCTAAACCATATCTTCACCTGTATGTGCCTAAACGTTCACAAAGTGAAAATGTATAGAGGCAGCCAAGTGTAACGTGGTGATGAATTTTGCAGGTTGAAGAACTTCATAAAGAAGTTATGCAATCCCAGAGTGTGTGTGTGGGGTGTGTCTGTCTTTAATGTCCAAACATATGTTTTTGACTCAAATGATGAACTGCTTTGCAAATTGCATCTTGTGTGCACATAATGTTTCAATGTGTCTGTCGAGTTAAGTTTTTCTCTTGACTTTAGGAATTGTTTTCTGTCATAAAATCCAGGGTAAAGCTGATGTATGGTTAGCTCTTATATTTCCTGACAGCTGTTCCTTGGAGTAAGAAACAAAATGTTACATTGTCTTACCAGTGTGGTCTAGTTATTTCTTCCACAGATGTATTGGAAAGCCATAATATCACTTAATTTCTAACAGTCTGCATGTTTTTCTCCAACAGGAACTGTTCTTATCAGAAGCAGTAATGGTCAACTAATGCTAGTATCTCAACAAGCAATAGCACAAACACAGAACCAGCCACAAAATAACACAAGCGTGAGACCATCTGTACCAACCAGCACACCTGCAATCAGAATATGTGCTGTACCGGTAACTTCTTTTATAGCTTTATTTTGACATAGCTATATGTTATGTAGTTATAACAGGGTTTGCAAACAAGTTATGGAGGGTTAAATAAGTGTTTGAATGCTTTCTGAACAGCATAATGGTGTTTAGTTTTGCATGTAAAGATCACTATGTGCTTTGCTTTGAGTTTGAAAAATCTGCTAGCCGTTATGTACGGTATAGTTCAAATTAAGGAAATCCTCTCTGATGATGATGATATATAAAGGGTTTTAAGAAAAAAAACACCACCAAACAATACAAAACCAAAAAACCTACCTAAATGGTTACTGCTAGTAACTGCAACCGTGCGATCCTCTGGTGAGATACTTCTCTGAAGCTGAGGACCTTTCCCATGTCCCCAGGAGTACCTCCTCTCCGGAGCTCTGCTGACTTTTTGCTTCCATCTCTTGTGATGTGGCCAGCACACAAGAGTAAGAGCACTTACAAAAAGGTAACCATCTGCATATTGCCAACATGCTCATTATTTAACCATTTTATTCTGATTAGGCATTATGTCTAAATGACTCTGAATCTGTTCTTGAGTATTAAAGTGGTAGACATATAGCTTTGTTGAACAATGTTATAACCATATGGACTATGTGAATTATACCTGTATTTTACTGTAAGAGTGGTTGTCATGGCTTAAATTGGACAAGAGCAGGAACTAACTTCAGTGTCTGTTTTGTCATTGACTTGTCTGACTCCTGTTCTCTGCACATGTACAATTATTTTTTATTTTTATTTGTTTTAAGAACTCTAGCACCCAGTTACTAAAGAAAGTAGCAGCTACTCCTCAGACAACAAATGCTGTGGCTTCCACTGTTCAGCCACCTGCTGTAATACAGGTAGGTGGCAAGCTTTATAATGTGGTGGAATAAGCAGCAGAGAGAACTGAAGAAAATATGGATTCATCCTTGTTATTTGTAACTTTTAACCTAGTTTTCAGTAAGCTTGGTATCTTTTGCTCTCATGATACATTCTTTCCCAAATGTCTTTTTAAAAATGCATAATTTAATAATACTTCTGCCAGTGTGTGCCAGATCATCCTCTCACTGCAGTAGAAAGCGCGTAAACAGTGGATAAAATAAATAGCTCAGTGAGCCATTTCCTTTGGTGCTTTTGTATCCTCTGACAGAGCTCCTTCAAGCTCTAGCTGAAGCTTTTCTGCAAGATGGACTTCCTAATGCTCCCTCCTGTTGGGGTTCCCTGATTCCAAGGGGGGAAAACAGTATATCTGAGATGTTGGTGAGGGGAAAATGAGCTGTCTGCACAAGTCAAGATGTTTTTCATGTGCACATATTTTTCCCTCATTAAAACTGAGGGAAGGTCATATCTGAAGACCTCTGTTTTCTAATTGAGTTTGGCAGACAGGTTCCACAGTTATGACTGTAAACAGTGGTTGAAAATGCCTCGTTATTTTTAGGTAGTGTTTTTGTCTTATTTCCTAGGTCCTATTTCTCTTTTTTCAGAGAAAAATGTTGTAGGACTCTCGTGAAGAGGCTCTTGCCACCTGTAGAGTATGAGACTTCTAGATACAGTTTATTCTCTGTTCTTGGGGGCTAGAGTTCTGAATAATCATGTGTGATGAAAAGAAAACCTACTTCTTTCTGCAGCTAAAATTTTCTGTTCTCCTCGTAATCTGGAGGAGAAGCTGGGAGGAAGTCTGCCTTTTACATACTTTTTGTGAACAAGAGCTTGAAGGAGTCTGGGCTGTAGTGGTTGACAGAGCACTCAGTAAATGAGCAGGATCAGTCATTCAAAAACCCATGCTGGATATATGTTCTTGACATTGGGGGTGTTTGAAGGATTGGCGGGTATGTTTACTGACAGTGGTAACTAACAGTCTGACTTCCAAATTCATCCTCCTGCTGTTCTTCTGTATCAGCAACTGAAAACTACTCACAGCTCTTTCTCTGACCTTTTTTCTCTTCTCACTACAGATGGATAATGTTGGGGCTAAAGGGGAAAACCCAAAGGCCTCTCAATACCTTTTCTATTTTGCATAGAATGGAAACAGCATACACTTTGTGTCTAAGAACAGTAACAGGTGTACCTTACCCACTTTCATTTTGGAATACTAGCCTGCAAACCGTGTGCTTGTGATCTCCGTATAGGTATCTTTAGGATATAAAAGCAATAGCCATCTACTGTACTACCTTTGCACTGGGGAAAAGAGATGAAGGTAAAGATGTATTCCATCTGATGGATGAAGCTGCCTGTATTCTCACACTCTCATGTGGATAAACACTGAGATTCATCATGCTATTAACTTTTCCTTTTTAACTTACATCTGCCTTTGACTTAGTTCTTCTGTACTTCCTTAGTTCAGTTTTTATGTAACCAATTTAACTTGTGCTCTTCTGAGATATTGGAAGAGGTAGACATGTAGTATTTTTTGTAAGCCATATTTTTTCCTTGTGTAGAACCTGGAACGCTTCTAATGAGCCATAGGGCTGGATTTAAACAGCAGAAACGATGACTCTAGGGAAGGTTAATAGCACTGTTTTGTTTGGAGTTGCTGCTTTGGGGAGCCCCTCTGTTTTGCAGAGGATTGCAAAGCCCTCTGTACAAGCTCTTCATACAATAAAGAGTCAATAGGCGCAATGCGGATACATCCTGCTATCAAAGGACCACTTCACTCCTCACCCTGGGGTGGACAGGAGAAGAATGCTGACCAGGGAGTCTGTGCATAAGGTTGCAGGAACTGTCTAGGGAAAGGAAGGAAGAGCTCTTGGTGGAGCTTGGTCCTTGGTGGAGGTTCATTCATCAGTTCTAAAAGAACTTGTTGATGTTAGTCTTGGACTGTTTTTTGAGGTCACGGGGAGGGGTGTTGGTGTGGAAGTATGATGGCATCACAAAAAGTGGGAGACAGTGAGGAGGAAATAGCCCTTGGCTTGGTTGTATATCTCCTATCCTATGTGAAGTACAACTTGGAACACTAATATCTGCAAAACTCTTATCTAGTTACTGACTCCAGGATTATTTTCCTCATCTACAAAAGTATTTCCATGTTTTGATGTTCCTTGAATGCTCAAGCTCTGAAGTTAGACAAAATACCTGCCCGTTCTTATTTTTTACCTTCTTCCCAGATGGGGTAACGAAGCTGCGAAGTATCTAATTAGCATCACGCTGGGGCACTTTCATTTAGATGCAGAGCACTACTTCTCTTGAAAGTACTTCAAAATATGCAGGATTAATGCCATTTTTTTGGCAACTGTTTCTCTGTTGTTCGAAGTGAGAATGAGAATTGTCAGTAGTGAAAAAGGTTGAGGGCAGATGACAGAAGTTAATTCCCATATATTCATCTTCTTGGGAAAAGGGTCCAGCAGACTTCCTGTTGTTTCCTCCCTCAGCTGATAAAATGCCGTTCTGGTCTTGATGTGTAAACATGCTGGAATTTGCAAGAGATCAGCTCCCGCGAACCTCATGTTTTCAACTTTTAAAAGCCCAGGGCATTGCAGCTTGACAGATCTGTACTCTGTCCCCTTCCGTCTTCCTCCCGTCCATCTGTTTGTGGGATTCTCATGCCCAGTTTGCCTCCCTGTGGTCTTAGAGCTGTTGAGCCTCATACTTGGAAGAGGCGGTGGTGGCAAAGATCCTGCAGAGAGCTATTAAAGTGTTACCAACAGTGGGAGCCTAAGCTGGAAAGCTTAGGTAGCTGCCTGCTTCTTTCATGTCAAGCTGGCAGCAGCTTGCAGGGGGACAGACCCCACCCGGAAAAAAATAATTTATAAATAAATTACAAAAGTGCCAGTGTCTTGCTTTAGCTTTAAAAGTTTGTTCATTCATTTTCCTTATCCTGAAAAACTTAAAAGCCCTTTGATATTCTACATGATGTCTGTCCAGCTCTGATTAGTTTTTTTTTTTTAATCCATGGTAGGATAAGTTAGGCTCTCGTGTTACTTTCTTATCATTAATGCAATTAGCAAGTATTAATTTGTGATTGTTAGACTAAGCTGGGGTGTTTAAATGTGTTAAGAGACAGTGAAAGCAATTGTGTTGTGCTAGAATTTGACCTACAAAACCAGATTTTCCCTTTCTCTTGAGAAGTTTGGAGGAAAAATGACACCCAACTTCAGGTTTCGAATGCTAACCTGAAACTCTTGCTTTTCTGTAACCTTCAGGTTCAATCTGGCTTTTTAGTTTTCAAGTTGAGAAATTTGAAGTAGTGGGTTTTGTAGAGGTGAAGTCTTTTACTCATTTTTTTATTCTGTTGTATCAGAAGAGCTGTGTTTGGTTTTTTGGATGTGTTTTTTTTTTTTTTTTTTTCTTTAAAGTCTGAAGTAGAAGAATTTCAGTTTCATAGGTTTTCTTCTATAAACTACTGTTTAGCCTGGTTTGCAAAAGAGAGAAGCAACTGTGGTGTTATTTTTTTCCTAAACTTTCATTGCTCTCCTATTGCTGGAGCTTTTGAATCTGTTGGTAAATTCTAATGACATTTTAAACAGAGGTCTCAACTGAATTTTGTGAGGGTTTGTGTTTGGACAGGGGAGAGAGAGATCTAAGTTGCTGCCCACAAGGAAAAGGCAGGAAGAACTTGTTAGGTGCATTTGCCCAGCTGGCTGGCACATGGATCCTTTCAAAGTGGACACGATGTATTTTGCCTGCTGCAGGTGTGATGGGAAGAGTAAGGGATATTGCAGTTGAGAGACTGGCTGCAGGGGAACAAAGGAAGAGAAATAATCACTTAAGATTGTATTTATCTTCAGAGTAGTATCACCTGGCTTGTCATTGTCCAGAATTCATTAGTCTTAGACTGTAGGAGCCTGGCAAAGTTAATAATATATTGGTTTCTTCAAGACAACTTTACCTTTCTCTCTTCACTTGGAAGTTGCAGGCATGGCTTCAGCCTTTGTCATTTCTTCCCCCTGCCCTTGATTTAAAAACAGAATTATGGCTGCGGGGATTCTGTCACTTACTGTACTAAATAGAGCCTCTCAAAGCAAATTAATCCAAACTTAAAAAAAAAAAAGACAAAAATTGTTTATTTATGTTTTAAATAATAATGTGGAGGGAGGATGCTATCTTATACCCTAGCAAAATACAGTATGTTTGTCACGTTAGACTTTTTAACCAAAGTGTTAATTTTTCTTTTCAGCCAGCAGCTGCAACAGCTAGTGTTACTACAGTTACTGCTGTAAAGCCTTCGAGTACTGGAACACCTGTAAAACTTCCAGTTACAGGACCACCTGCACAAGCTAACTCCCAAAAGGCAGTCTCTGTGAAAGCAGAGGGCACAACAGTAGCACAGACCAGCGCTTCTGCAGTAAGGAGGAAAAAAAAAAAAGTTTTTAATTAAAAATTAGCATTCTCTATATTCATCAGAGGTTGGAGAGGCAGTGCAACATCTAACAGTCTTCTCTTTATTTTCATGCTAGGAGATGCTAGAGAATGTGAAGAAATGCAGAAATTTTCTTGCTACGCTAATAAAACTGGCATGTAGTGGACCTCAAGCCCATGAGATGGGGCAGAATGTGAAGAATCTGGTGCAAAATCTGTTGGTGAGACTTTTTTTTAAAAAAAAGACTGCATAATTTGTGTATTGTTTCTGACATTGACTTCATAGTTTTGTTCTTTGTCTTATTTTTTTAAACAGCTGAAGGGTTGGATTTGTGGCTGAGTACATCTGACTCTCTTTGAGTCTTACATTATAGCTCTTATTGTACTGGATCCCATGCTGTATTTTTCCCCCCTCACATTCCTGTTTCATTTTATGCACACAGGTAACTGCCAGCGGGAGGAGCTGATAGTGTTAGCACAGCTACTGGGTCGGAGCTGCTCTTTTTTTTCATGTTACTGTAGTTGAGAGTCATCAATGGCAGGAGTATTACCACAGAGGTTGTAGTACAGAGCTAAGTCCATAGTACTGCTTTACTCCAAGACAGAAATGAGTTACAGGTTGATAGTGAAGCTCCAGTGGAACAAGCATGTCATTATCTATGTCTTTAGGCAGTGGGATGGAGAAAGTAATGTGGTGGCTGCCAGCCTCTCTCCTTGCAGGTGGCTTCCTTATGCTGCTTAGTGCTGTACCCCAGCACAGCTGGGTTTTTTTGGTAACGATTTCTCCTGCCATTTCTTGTAATTTGACCAGTGCTGCTCTTTTGTTGTTCCACTGTAGCAGAAGACTGTGAGCTGGTGGAGGGGGATGGCTTTGCCAGTGGTACCAAAGGACTTTTCAGTCTAGAAAAGTGTGGTGTAGGCAGAGGTGTAATTTCATAGAGCAGATTGTTTGAAGATGCAGCCTTGCAAAAATTTGATTCCTCTGCCTCTCTGTTCCTGCTGAACTATTCACCTTTTGTAGAAACATACTAGAGGGTTGTTCTTTCTTGTGCTTACAGTACTTTATTATTTTAAAGAGCAGTTGTTACCAGACATTAATATAGTAACTGTGTACTTGTTTGCTTTTTGTAGTTTTTTAAAAATGCTGTTCTTCTGCCATTCAGTATGTGTATATGATTTAAATGAAAAATAAATTAATGTTTTGTATGTATGAAGGAAATGAGTAAATGGCAGCTGTGAAATACAGTGGTCCTTAAGGCAGTGTCTCATGAAGTGGGTGTCAATCTCCTTGTATGCACTGAGATGTAGCATACCAAATCATTGCATCTGTATTGGTGAGACCTCAGTGACCTGTACCCACAGCTCAGTGAGACCTAACAGGCAGCAGATCAAATGAAGAAGTAGGAGAGCTGTTAGGTTCTATTTATCTGTGAATATACAGTGCTTAAGACCCCTGCACTGATCGCATAGCTCCTTGGTATGTTTGTTCTGAAGGGGAGAGTATGGGCGAGAGGAGTAACTTCTCTGCAGAGACAGAGATTGATGTTGGGCTTCCCCTTCCTTGTGTGTCTGTACCTAGTTGGAGGAGGTTATGTTCTTGGTGACTCTGTGGTAGGCTCTCACCTGGGAAGGTGAGGAAGGGCAGCAGTGTCTGGATCTACCCACCACCTTAGCCCCGTTGTGGTGGCACTGAAGCAGTGAGTGAGGGGTCTCAGAAGTCTGCTGCAGCTTCCTAACACTCCCAAGCCCCTGAGTCAGGTGTTTGTGTTGGGGCAGAGCAGAAAGCATTAAGAAAGGAGACTGTACTCTGCAAGCCAGAGGACTATTTCCCATAGTGGTATGCAGAAATGATGTTCTGATGCTCGGTTTCTTCTGACTTTGAAAGAGGATGTTAAGTGTTCTGCTTTATCATGCTATGTATGGATTAGACTAGAATTGTTTTACAAAAACTACTGAGTTGTCTTTTGTCTCTGGTCTCTTTAAATAGATCTTTATGCAGATAAACTACCTTTACAGAAGAAACTACTGTAGTGGATTTTAAATATCTCTGCATAACAATGAGGTACTCAAAAGGATCAGTGCTACTTATAAACTTGTTTCTATCAGTTCACTTCAGTGAATGGATGTTCGAAGAAGTATCCTTAAGTGTGTTAACTGTCTGTAGTTGAAGAAAGTAATTTGATTTGATAATACTATATCTACATTACTATACCATTCTATCCTGAAACCTTTTGTTTAAAAATACAGGAGGAAAAAAGCATTTGAGTACTGAAATCTAACAGTTCCATGATAATGTAAATTTCCATGAAGTTTTGATACATCTGGGAAAAAAATATGATAGATTCACGGTTATAACTTACCATTGTAATTATACTTTCCTCTTAGGAAGCAAAAATTGAACCAGAAGAATTTACAAAAAAGCTATACATAGAGCTCAAGTCGTCTCCACAACCGTATTTAGTTCCTTTTCTCAAGGTAAGTGTCTGATTGTGGATATATATATACTTAATGAGGGGGGGGAGGAGAACCAGAAAAGGAGAGTCAGAGCATTCAAATAGGTATTTGCTCAGGTCAGTTGAGGAAAACGTGCATAACCCCTAATCCTGTGTGACTTGCTCCACGAAAGACAATTTTTGGGGGACAGAGGAATTCAGAGGAGTAATTTACACTGTGTTCTTAAATTGGAATTTAATTACCCTCTAGGTGTTAGTGGAGACTAATGTTTTGGAAGCTGGTGCATCTACAGTAGAGTAGCTATACTAAGATGAACTTTTACTTTCTCATCAAAACTTTAGCTCTTCTGACTGTACACAGCTTAAGCAGTATTTAAGCTCAGAGAATCTACATAGACTTATATATCTGTTTGCTGGTTTGTGTTTAACTGGAGGCAGAAAAAAAACCCCACCCCTTTCTCCAGAAAGGGTCTGAAAAGACTACTGCATCTTAGAAAAAGTAACCCAGGACAACTCTACCTCTGTTCAAGCAAATAATCACACAAATTAAAAAATGGTCTCTTAACGCTTCTAATCATATGGTAGATTGGTACTGACAAAATAAAAATTAACATCTTTGTTGTACAGCAAGCATTAATTCCCAGTGAAAACTTGGTTACATTTACTTAATTGCAGTGTACACAGTATTGTCAGGCTTAATAGATCTGTACTTAGCTTGGCATTTATTATAGGCGTGGTGGAGAATCAAAGCAGAATAGTTGAGTGGTAAAGCTGGGACAGAGGTTTTCTGGAGTTTGTCCTCTTCCTTAGTATTTGACAGCACATATAACAATGCATGTGATAATGTTGATACTACTTTAGATGTCTGGTGTTAATCTGTTCAAGTGTGGGATGAATATTTTTGTTACAGTGGCAGCCTTTGAATGCTTTGTTAGCAAGTGTACCATGAGTTCAGAAGACCAGAGTCATCTCTACAGGTCTTGATATAAAATTTTCATATTGATCATTTATTCTCTGTTTAATTTCCTGGAGGCTTCTTAAATGCCCATGAAAAAGCCAGAAAAACAAGCAGCTCAGAGTATGGGCTTTCCTGCATCCAGTGCAGCTCTGGCTACAGAAGGAACCAGGCTGCGAGTGCAGGGTCAGTGCGACTGGCAGAGGTTTCCTATGAGCTGTGTGGGGTCTCAGCAGAGCTCTACTAACTGCCAGGGCAAGTTTGGCTTCAGAGGGAGCACAGCTGCTTTCTGCAAGGCTGTGTTTGATGAGCCCTGAGGGACTTGGGCTGGCTGTGCCTGTGTGGGGCCAGGCCAGGTGCTGCTGTGCTCTGCTCCTGAAACAGAATGGGTGAACCTCAGTAGCTCTTCACAGACCCAGCCTAAATCTGTCACAACTAGACCTTGCCTGGGACTGGTGAGCCCTGATAGCCCCAGATTAGCTCATGCACAGAAGCGGGGGGGTGGCTGCACTACCCTTGCTAATGCTTCCACTCCTTAGGGTCCCCCAAGGGTTTATTAGCTCAGGCACCACAGCAGAGCCTTTGCACGTTTCTCCTGCATCATTCTACCAGGTACTGGTATTATCTAGGCTTTTCTGTTTTGCTGTATCCATACCCCCTAATCCTTGACAAGGTGCTCCCTCCCTGTTGCATGCTGTATAAACAAAGAAATACTGTGACTTCAGAAACATTTGGACACTGTCATGGTCAGTTAGCTGGCTTTGTAGTGTTACCCATCCTTTAAAACATCTTCCACTTCGTTAGCTTTTTTCCAAAATACATTAAGGGTGTGTAGTTGATACGCACCAGTTAATCTGGTTTGGAACCATGGGCAGCTGTGACAGGATTGAGTGCCAAAAGGAAGCTGACTTCAGGAGCATTTCTTGAAGGTGCTACAGGGATGGGTGCTGGCCTTGTCTGTGGGGGAAATGCCTGCAGCTTGAGTCTGGAAAGACGTGATATGGCTTGTTGCCAATTTGATTTTAGATAGTGAAGTGGAGTTTTAGGGAGGACTCTGTGGAGTTGTTCCTTATCTTTAAGCTGTGGGTTTTTGATGAAGTTGTTGCACATGTTTTGTTTTGTCTGTTCGAATAGGTGGAAAAGTACAGTGACTTTGGCTGTGAAGCCTGCTTGATTTTTTTAAATCTGTGCTGGATGCTTTTGGTAAATAAATTGCATCAGGAGCAAGAGGAAAACTGAGCAGCCTTTTAAAAGAAAAGGAAGTGAATGTTAAAGATAGGTGTGCTGCAGAAGGTCCAGATGCGCAAACAATTTGTTCACTTGGTATATTAACATGTGAGACATTTTTGCATGAAGCCCAGAGCAACAGCACTATGCTGGAGACTTAGAAACTTAAAAAACTGTCAAGGGGTATAAAAGGGTTTGTGAGAATATACAGGTAGCTTGCAGAACTGATTTCCCCTGGTCCTGAGCCATAACAGATTGTACATAGTCAGGGAGAAAAATCTGTAGAGGGCTTGAAGATTATTCTGTCCATTAACCTTCTCAAACACAGCTGTAGTAAAAATGAGATGTTGCCAGATACCTTTACAAATGTTCTCCTGTTGCAGAAAACTATCTGGCTTAAGTTGTGCTGCTGCAGCTATACAGACATTATTAAACTGGTATCCCCCCCTAGTGTAGATACAGCTGTATTGGTATAGAAGTGCTGGTATCTTCAGAGCTTGTTTCTGACTTCCTTGGATAATTTGTCGTTCTCTGTCAGACAGGCTCCATGGAATAAACACAGCTGTTATAATATAGCAGGGGGTTTTGGCAAAAATTTTTGAGGTAGCAAAGCAGTTAAAATGGTATTATTCTGAAATGTAAATTCCAAATTGAAAAATCTAAACATAGGAACAAAGTTAAGGCTGAGTTTTCCTATAGGTGGGATTTTCTGCATGCAGTGAAGCTGTGGTGAGTGCTGACCTTTGCTCAGCCCGTGCTGGTGTATCTTGTGGTCTTCACTGAGCAGTGTCGTCATCAATTTACAGGTGCCTGGATTCTAGGAAAACTTGTTTGGAATAAGCAATTTATTATCTCATGAAAAATTAAATTGGAAGATGAGGATTCAGTTGCTAATGTAGCAGTATTCTGGAAGGCTGCTGATGTTACATCCGGTGTTTTTTCATTTTTCTTCTAGAAAAGCATGCTTGCCTTACGGCAGCTAATGCCCAACGCTCAGAGCTTTATCCAGCAGTGTATGCAGCAGCCAACTCCAACCCAAGAAGCTGTTTTGACTGGTACCTCTGCAGCACCAGCTCCGTTGATAGCAGCGGCACCCTCAACAGTAGCCACGACTTCTCTTCCAGTTACAAAACCAGTGTCTGCCTCTGTAGCAGTCACAGCCTCTCCAGTTATAAAACCAGTCATTGCCAGCATGTTGGCGACAGCTTCTCTGCAGACCATGAAGCCTGTTCCTTCTGCAGTGGTGACAGCACCTCTTCGGCCTGCAGCTTCAGTCCTCACCACAACAATAGCAACACCAGGGCTGACTGCTGTCCAAACTGTCAAGCCAGTCTTCACCTCTGCAGTAGCAACATCATCTCTTCAGTCCACAAAACCAGTGCAGGTCCCTATGGCGGCATCTTCAGTAACAACCCCTCTCCAGCCTCTGAAACCAGTCGTTGGAACCTCAGTCAGTATTAAAATCTCACAGCCGAACTCCGTCATTGCGCAGTCAGTGGGTGCTCAGCAGGTGGTTAAAGTGAAACAGTTGGTAAGATTAATTTCTCTGCTTCTTTGTAACTGGGTTTCTTTACTTTCGTAATCCTAGAATACCAGGTTGGAAGGGACCTCAAGAAGGTCCAACCTTTCTTAGCAAAAGCACAGTCTAGACAAGATGGCCCAGCATGCTGTCCATCTGAATCTTAAAAGTGTCCAATGATGGGGAATCTACTGCTTCCCTCGGGAGATTATTCCAGTGGCTGATTGTTCTCATTGTGAAAAATTTTCTCCTTGTGTCCAGTTGGAACCTCCCCAGGAGTTGTTTGTATCCATTATTTCGTATCTTTTCCACGTGACTCCTTGTAAAAAGGGAGTCTCCATCATCTTTGTAGCCACCTTTTAAATACTGGAATGTCATTATTATGGTCTCCTCTAAGCCTTCTCTTCTCAAGGCCAAACAAATCCAATTCTCTCAGCCTTTCCTTGTATGGCAGGCTTCCCAGTACCTTGATCATCACTTTGACTCTTACTGTTTATAAAGAGGATACCAATTTGCTCTTTTTTTTTTTTTTTTTTAACATATGAATCTAGTCTGTCATGATTTAATCAGTTACATTTGCCATAGTGTAGGGATATTGAGCCCTTGCTGAATAGGTGAATCTAAAGCTAAGCTGTAAACTCGATCTCTTGCAAGACATGCTGACCACCATTCTACCAGACTGAATATCGAGCTTGAGACACGAGAGAACATGAATTCTGACCCCTGCTGTGCATGCAGTCAGACTAGGCTGGCATCTGAAAGAAGAGGCAGGAAATGCTAGTGTCAGAAACAGAAATTGCTGATGGTTTGCTTATGTTAATTACTATGAGATGCCCTGTTTCAGGCTGTGCCTCAGCCAGCCTCCAGGGATTATAGTCTCTCTACTTTGGTAGTTCCTACCCTGGATACTTTGCAGGCACAAGTGGCTTGATGATGTTTTGTGATATGTTAACTGAGATGTATGAACTTGCTCAAGGAGCTTTTCAGAGCAGAGTTCTGACCTCCAAATTTACTAAGACATGTTAATTATGAAGTCATCCGAAAGTGAGCTTTTTCTATCAGGCCTCATTAGCTAACAAATTCCAGGAGGAATAAATGTCTTATTAAAACAATACCCTCAAAAGCAATGTGTTAACATCTCTTTTCTTGGCACAGGTTAACTTCTTGCTAATGTTAACTTTAAATACCAACAAACTGAGGATCACTGGTATACCCAAAAGAGCAATGTTGTAAAATATATTAGGTTTGGTTTATGGATGTTTGAGATACAGGGTAGTATGCTAACTAGTCAACCTGTAAATAATGTTCTCGGGTATTTTGAGTGAATCGTTTCCCCTTGGCAGATAAGGAACTCAGTTCTTGAATAGGACTTCCTTGTAAAGATTTTTTCCTTAAAAGAAGGGAAAACATTAGACTTCCTACGAAGGTGGTAGACCCTATAGTAGGGAATCTAGTGTGTGATTTTCCTTTGTAGTTTACTTATTGTACATACTTGATTTAACAGTGTTCAGACCCCTAAAATGTTCTGCTTTTTAAATTTTCTTCCTTTGAAAGTGCATAAAGGGTATGTACTACAAGAATCCTGCATTCTAAATAAAGAGCGTACGCTACCAGCTTTTCAACTTTCCAGACTTGCTTAAAAAGAACGAAGCACTCAACTGTATGGAGGGGGTCCTGTTTATGAGTAGGTTTTTCTGTTGTTTTGTTTTTGTTTTAAAACCCAAACAAATAACAAAAACCCCAAACAGTTATCAAGCATATGCACTGACAGTTTTTGATAGTAGTAGCTAAAGCCAAATTGGAAAAGGAGTTGGTACCCTTAACTGTCTTTGAGGACTAAATTTGAAATTCCAGCCAGAAGAAAATGAGGGCTTCTTAGGTTGTATAAGGGCTGGAGAGCAGTTTGTTGGCTACACAGCCAGCCATGTAATCCAGGGGAAAGGTTGACCATCTGCACAAATAGATGAGGAAGCTTAACTCTACACTGGAGAGTCGAAACACTTCTTGAATATGATATTGGTGAACTCAAGAAATAATTTCTGCCTCCTCTACTACCGCAGTGTGGCAACCTATTGCAATTGCTGCTTTTTGCTTTGCCTTACGAACATTGAATTGCATACAAACATGGTTTTTATCCTCAGTTGGGTAGATCCCAGGCACAGTGATTAAAATACTTGCTCTTCAAAATACCTGCTTAATTTTGGTCTTGGATATGGTTGAAGGGCTGAGTTGACCACTTCACTGCTGAGCCATATCAGGATATTGGTGTTTGTTCAGGCAACCTACTTGCACAAAGAGCAAGTTAAAAGCGGCTGCATCTTCTGGGGCTTCCCTGATGCCTTACCTTGAAAGGACAGAGGGTCTGTTTCCTCCCACAAGAAAGCAAATCTGGACCTCCCCTCCCTAAACAGAAGAGTTCTGCTGCCAGCTGAAAAGCAGCACATGCCAGCTGTGCAAATCTGTCCATACAATGCTGCCAGAAATTTCTTTTCCTTTCCAGCCCGCAGGGTTGTCTGAAGCCTTACACTCCCTCTGCATGTCCATTTCTAATTTAGGTCTCTTGTGCTTGAGGAATGTAAAGCTAACCTTCATGTGCCAGCTCTGTTGTAATGTTGGTGGTGCTTAAGAATGCAACGCTGCCATATTTTAATGTAAAAATTGTGACTGGAGTGATACAACACGTAACTTTCATTTCTGTAGCATGATTATGGAAACTCTGGGGCTGTGTGGTGGACACCAAGGGACCTGTTCTTTGGGGATGCTGTTGGGATTGATCACATGCCTGTGCTGTGAGAGTTGCCCGTTTGGAAGGGTTCTGGTGACTTTCTCAATACAACCTCATTTAAGGGCACTGGCTTAGAAAGAATTTTCATCTTGGAAATAAATCTTATCTTGCTGTAGTATTACTTTGTTTCTTGTTAAATCACAGTAAATGCAAATTTACATTACCAGCCCCTGGCCTCCAATGGCGAGAAGACTGCTGTGAGACTACAACTTCATGTTAAGCATAAAGAGCAAGAGTTTTATGGTGTAGCCTCTTCAATTACCAGTGAGACACACTCCCTGGACATTGCTGACAGCTGAAGCAAGGAGTGAAGTGCTTGCGCTGTTCCAGCTACATGTTCTTAGTGAGTTGTTAGTGTTGAGTCCCCTCAGAGCTGAGCTTTCTTGAACAGAGTCTCTTCTGTTATTTTTCAAGAGATTTTTGCCCAGGATGTATGCTTTTGTATTCAGCTGGTGAGGCTTCCTTCATGAAGTAATACTTCTTGTAGTGTATGATGATACCTCAACATCTCTCTGCTGATCTCCGAACTTTGCTTTATGAATGTAAAACAAGTTCAGGTAAGGCTAATCGGAGTCTTTCTCAGGCAGCTGTCTCTCTGCTGTCAGCTGGTTGTTGCATTGCATTTTTTGTACTTAAAAGTCTTTGTGCTTTTTATTCTGGTGTCTCTGTCAACCTATTTAGTGGGGCACAAAGGAACAGTCCCTTTTCTTTATTTTTTTCTTGCTGCTAACCTGATGAAGAGAGACAATAACTCTTTCTCACAGATATAACCTATTTTTGTAATACTTCTTTCTGGCATTAGATCCTTGACAGAATTTCTAGGATTGTTGCCCTCTCCTGTTGCAAGTCCCAGGGACTTCTAGCTTTTGTTAGTCTAGCAGCTAGCATGGCAAACAGAAAATTAGCTTTACTGCCAACAAATCCTCTTTCTCGTTGATTTAGTCTCCTTGGTTACTTGACTTATTTCCCAATCTCCACCTATACTATTGATTTAACATTGCCTATATCTGCTCTTTTGTCGGCTGTACCTTAATCCTGAATGCTTATGTTTCCTCCTGTGCTGTTTCAGTGTCTTGCATGCTGAAGATGAAATATAATTCTCACTGTGGTAGGGGGGATCCCTAGGTGCATGTCAGTGCGGGTGCTGGCAGAGCCTGTGAGTAATTTGTCCAAGCTCGTCATTGGCTCACTGATTATCTGAACATAGAAATGATGTTGTTAACATTATTTGCAACTTCCAGCAAATGGAAGCTAGATCTTTCAGAAAGATCAAATTGTGCTTTGGTAAAAACACATGGAAGCAAATGTTCAGTGCCCGTACTACTTTGTGAGGAGGTGCTGCAGGTGTGAGCCCTGACTCTGTCCACAGTCTGTCCCTGTACTCTAGTTCTTTCCTCTTATGGATCTTATGTTTCTTCTAAAGAACTGTCTGTTTGTTGCCTGGTTCTCATACACCACCTTCAGCTTAGTTATTCCATGTTGCTGCTGCTATGCCAAACCATGATGCTATTAATATGGGGATGGGTGGGGTGTACCTCAACTATTTGATACACAAAGTACCTTTTTTTGTGATTGTGTGATGCCTGTGCTGATGATGTTTACTGATAAATCTGAAGTTAGATGACAGAAGGAGACAGCTTAATTTCTGAAGTATAATAAATGTCAATTCTTTAATTAAACTTGTGCAGTGTTGCTGTGCAAGCACTCTTTAGACTCCCTGAAGTTAAAAGATGTAGAGGAGAAAAAGTGGTTTCTTGATGCTGAAAATACCTTTGTACTAGATTTTTTCTGATTAAAAAATAGGATTCAGTCTGAAAATGTTGATAGTTCTGTGCTTTGGTAAAAGCACATCTTTCTACTACTTGTAATCAAGAACTTTTCCAAAGGATGATTCAAAATCTGCAGCCCGCATTCTGCTAGCTAGGAGGCTTAGAAATGAGGCTTTTAGGGATGCTGCAATTTCATTACTTTCTTGCATTTTAATAGCTGCCCCTGAAGAGGAAGAATTAGTATTTATGGGCTGTGCCTGTAGGTCTGTGTTGTGATGACATCCTGCTGTCTGGTTTTGTTTCTTTCAAGAGCCTCTTTAAACAAAACTGTCAACCCCCTTCCTTTTTACCCTTCAGCAGTGTACTGATGTTTTTGTATAGAGGCTCTACTCACTATAGGTGGTGTTAGCTGGTACTTCATGTTCCCGCTAACTGATGTGTTCAGTGTACTTTTGCTTAACACTTTGAAACTCAGCATCTCAATTTACAACTGATGTTGTGGCTCCAAAAATGCTTTAGTAACTTTATAGTGTGTACTCCTAATTCTTGTCAGGAAAAGGATTTAATGCAAGACTTATAACTGTTTGTTTTTGTGTTCTCTCTTTGTAACTAGTTATATGGGATACCTGCCCTTCTGAACTTACTGTCAGACAGACTCAATATTCAATTGTTAGTCTGTTAAGCAAGACTTACAGAGAAAAAAGCCTCTTAGTGTAATGGATTGTGTAATACTCAGTGAAACTTGTCTAATATGGTTATCAATAGAGAGTAGGGGTGAAGTGTCTGTTAGAGCTCACTGAATGAGCTGCACCTTAAAGCTCACCACCAGTTCTTAAGATTTCTTGTCTTGAAGTTAATAATTTAAAAAAAAAAAAAAAGTGAAGTTTTTCAGAGCATGTTACTTGTTTTAACCTGAAAGCTAGCCATGCATGCATGCCCAGTGGCACTTCTGGCTAAACGAACACATTGATGCTATTTACTTCTCTGTACGTTTAGCTCTTCTCTTGATACTGGATATTCCGTTTCCAGGTAGTTCAACAACCATCGGGAACCATCGTAAAGCAAATATCCACACTCCCGCAACCCTCAACACTGACCCTACAGGCATCTGCTGAGGAAAGGATGCCGCTGAATACACTTGTTCAAACTAACCAGTTTCCTGCAGGTAAAGTGGAACCTCTTTAATGGAGAAGGAAGAGGGCTGCTGAGGTATAGAAATAAGTGCAGGCTGTTGGTAGATTGTAGGAATGTAAGAAGGTGGTTGTGTGTAAGCTCTGTACAGTAAATTGGACATCTTTACTGTCTTCTTGGAATTCTGATAAGAAACTCAGTGCCGTGTCTACTTCTGGCACCTGTCACAAGCATGTCAATCAAACATTTGTACTTGTTAAAATACTGTGAGTAAGCTCCTTGCAGTGAACTTCATTTAAACCATGATGCTTTTGATCATCCTTTCATGAGACTTAGATTTTTCTTTCAATGGGTCCAGGTTGATGCATAATGTGAGTTTGTCTCAGCCAGCCAGTTTTCATAAAACCTTTCACTGGTCAGCACAGAGGAGGGTGTTTGCTGAGAGCGTGTAGGGGTTTTGGCCATACAGACCCTCTAGAGGGTCTGGTTTTCAGGTGGACCTAATTTGTTGTTACTAATTCTGCAGCAGCCTTTGTTAGAGGTATGAACTGATTAAACACTTGTCTTAGCAGCTGGATTACTATTGTGTCATGTTCTTTGTTTTGTTTTAGGTTCCATTCTGAAAAAAATTACCCTGCCAGGAAATAAAATTCTGTCACTTCAAGCCTCTCCTGTTCCGAAAGCTAAAATAAAAGAGAATGGAGCAACATCCTTCAGGTAAAAATAAACTGTATCAGAAGTTTACTATAGGAAGGAACAGATAGCAAGTATAGAGGTGGCAACGGAGCCCAAATAAAAGCAACTGTCTTTAAAACCTTGTTTATGATAGGTGGTTTTCATGTTATAATACTTAATTGGGAAGGGGGAACCTAAAAATTTTGATCTCATAGCAGATGTTAATTATTCTTAATATAAGAAAACTGCCATGATGAGGTTGGATTTTCATCATGCTATCACAAGAGTGTAATTATATAAACAGTGTCCATCAATATGTATCAGTTTTTCACTTGCAGAAGAGGCATATTGCTCTCCGTCCTGTAAGTGCTATTAACTAATCTAAAGCAAAGTTACCTTGTATTAAAAGCTCTCTGTAGGATTAAAGCTGATATAACCTTTGTTTCTTACAGGTGGCCAGATAACATTGTACTGTTATTTGGACTGGCTGGTAACATGTCTAAAGCTCTGTTCTGTATTTTGAAATCTTCTATTAGCTCCTCTTACAAGCTTGTCCCTGTATGTAGAGGTGAAAGTCTTTGACTACACCTCTAATTACGGCTTCTGGCATATTCTCTAGGCCTTTAAATTACAAGAGTGCTTAAAGCTTTTAATTCTGGTAACTGATTAAGTTTTCAAAAGCAGAAATGATTTTTGTAACTCTGAAATGTAATGTTGGAACAGAGGTACAGACTGCCATAAGCATTACTGGTTTTATGACTCTAAGCTAAGCTTGAAGTTGTTCTTCCAGGGGTAAAAGCGGACATGACACCTTTGTCTTGTTGACCAGTTGACTTCTCATCTCTTGAAAGCTACAGCTTTTTGTTCACTGATACAGACAGAGAGCTGTTGTTTACAGTAACATACAGTATACAGTGAACACTTAAGACATCGGTAGCCAGAAGCTGAAATGAAGAGCTGATGTTAAAGCACTATCTCTGTTCAGCTGCCTCAAGTTCCTGTGAAATATACTTCAGAACATAATTTGGGATGTAATTTTGGGTAGTGATGTTTCAAGTCATGTGTCTCTGTTCTCCAAGCAGGTCCAGCACCACCACATAGGGTAATCTGGCATGGGCAATAGATGTTCCCCAGGAAGACGTGGCTTGTTCTTTTCTGTCCCATCTTTCAGTATTCCCACCACAGCTATTCTTTGTGACCTGTGATTTGTCAGCTGCTGATCATGCGTGAGGCAGAGAAGCCCCCTTCTAGGTTTTGCAATGAGATTAGTTATGGGCAGAGGGCATGTTCTTGTAATTGATGTGATCATACATGTGACACTTCAAACGGTGTACTCATTGCAGTGTGTCATCAAGCCTGATTCCTTCTGCCATGGTGTGACTAGGTTAGGTTAGGATTCGAGAACTTAATACTCACTCAGGTATACTTAATAAGCTGCAAATTGACCTTGTCTACTCTTTAATGGGCTGGTTTAGGTTGCTTAAGATGATCAGTAGAAAAAATGGTGATCCTCCCCTCCCCAGTTAATCAAAAAAAAAAACCTCCTAGAAATTATTTCAGCTGAGCATGGGCATGACTAGCACTCAGTTGCCCCATGGCATGTATTGTAAAGGGCAGTCTGTTTTTTATACAGAATTTTTTTATAATCTTTAAATCTTTATCAAGATTTTTATAAACTGCTCTACATACTTCTTTAAAGTATATGCTAGAGAGCACCCTGGAAGAAAATAAGGCATATTATCATCTTCAAATATTTGTTCTGCATCTATTCTATTTAATAGAGTTGTTCTCCAGAGCACATACAACTCGGACTTCTGCGTTTTGTCTGGAAGGTATTAGCAATCTGAAGTAGCAGACAAACAGGAGCAAGACAGCAGAGAACATCTGGGCAGCTGTTCCTCCTGCCCCGTGCTGGTGGAGAGCACTGGTGGTTCTTGCTCTGCTGGAATTGTTCCATCCCATGATGGTGCATGGAGGTTTGGATTAAGCGTGCCTTTCTAGTTTTCCCTTTGACTGTTGTATAAAATGGAGTAAATAAAGATGGATTCGGAAGAGGACATGGATGTTGATCAAACACCAGAGGGTGCCACAGACTCACTTTTCAGCCAGTTTAGGCTAATGCACAGCTGTGTGTTCACCTGCATTGCTTGGGCTTCTTTTCCAGTAGAATATTCAGTATAAATGTCAAACCTGAGTCGATGCACGGTAATGCTCAGACCTCTACGTTCTGTTTTCCCCCTTGTCCTGATAAGTTTAAATCACTGGATAGACTTATAACATCTGGGAGAGTTTTTGAAATTTTTGGATGTGACATGATCAAATGCAAAAAGCGTTAAAGGAAGTGGTGTAGAAGAGGGGCTTGCAGAGAAATTGTTGAAAATGAAAGCAAATCCGTATCCAGCAGAAATGTCTGCATGTATACTGTGTAATATTTTAAATTTTATCTTTTCGTAGGATGATTTTTTTAGTTTACTTCAGGTACATGATACCTCATATAAAATGACTGAGGTTTTGTTTGAACAGCAAGGAAAAAAGAATAATAAAAAGTACAAACTTAACATGGCTTCTGAAACTTACATTAATCTTTTGTGAGCACTACTTTGAAGGAAATGTAATGATAATTTCTTTGGGTTAAGTAAAATAAGTGCAGGTACAAATTAATCTTTCATCAAGGCTAGTGACTTGGTGACTTAATGCAAACTTAAGCCCCACAATGAAGAAGTTAAAACTGATCCTTAAACATAGTGCAGGTAAAGATGTCTGCTTGCATATTATCTCTTTTATGTGTGTACTCCCAGGAGAGACTGTGCATGGGAATATTAAAGAAAATGGTAACCTGAAAAAGGCTGGTTTTAGAGAACTGAAACTTGTATATGTAGAAAGGTGAATAGATGTAACAGAAATGTTACCTCTTTCTTGCTTGAGTATTTGGAGTATGTGTCCAGAATAAAAGCTAAAATTATTTACTGAAACTGCATGCTTTACACTTGTACCTGAGGTGCAAGCATCCTTACTTGGATTCCATAAACAGCTCCATTGGGGTAACGTCAGGTTCCAGCATCTGCAGCTCTTGTAACTTGTGATCTACATTCTTGGTGATAGTTGTGCTGATTCTGTAATCTCCTTTATCAGCAGATCCCTGGCAGTCACTGCACTTTGGTGGGATTCTTGTCTCTGCCACCAACAAAGACTTCTCTGTAGTGGTCATTAAGAAGAGGAAACTGGAGTGTGCTTGTGAAGATCAGTTAGCACCCAATTAGCATGCAGTGAAGTTTCATTTACACGCTTCTTGAAAGATCAGGGTCTCTGTTAAGCTGATAGAACATGAGTATAGGCTTGGAACTGCTCAGTTGCAGGTTGTGAAGGGGTAGGAGGAGGGAAGGTGTTCTGGCAGTGGTGACTTAAACTGTATCTTTGAATCACAACTGTGATCACTTAACCATTCTGACAATCCTAAGGTTTAATGCTTTTCTTAGTGCAATAGATTTGGGACACAAGCCTAGTCAGGAAGCTATGTCTAATTAGACTTAATGAGTGAAGCAGGTTTGAGAATCTGTTGCATCTCCTTTTCCCTGAATAAATCACATAGAAACTCCTAGCCATGAGGGCACACAAGCGAATGCCAGGAGGAGTAGGGGGAAGTCTGGACTTCTTTCCTAGCCAGGCTTCTCTTCAGAAGTTTGTAGGAGAAGACTTGTGCCACAGAAACGTATTGAAACTCAAAGGGAAAAATGCATCTATAGTTTAAGAAAAAATCCTAACACTTTCTCGTGTCTCTTGAGTATTGCTCTAACCCAACCCATGTTCTAATAACTTCAGCTTCTACCTGTTGCCGGTCAGAAGACAGCCTTCAAGAGATCCCGTTTCACCTAATAATGGCAAATTTCTGACTAACTCCTTGTTCAAGAGTTATGTAGGCCACACAGTATTTTCTGAAGATTAATTTTATCAAACCTTGCCAGCAAATACTTTTCAGGAGGGGTGTGTGTGTGGTTTTGGCTTTTGTTTTCTTTTGTTTTCCAAATCAAGAGACCTCCAGATTGAGAGCTTCTACGTGTCTGTATTAATAATGCTGGGTTGTGTTCTGGTTCTAAGTCCTTGAAGCCACCTATAGGGCCTTTGTCGCTTTGTGAAGCAAAAAAAGACTTTCTTTTGATGATGTAAACTTAGTTGAAAACAACGTATGTATTTTCATTGCTAAAGTCTTGCAAAAACTTTTCCCATATCAAATTAATTCCGTATTTTAACAAAATGGATATTTTTTTTTTTTATGAAATGCTCAGGCATACAGGCTATTTGCTTAACATGAGCTTTGCCATGATTATAGCTAGTCTTAGTTATGTTAGCCCTAAATATGCCAGGCTTGAGTTTTTATTTTGAACATGTAGACTAAAGCTACTACAGCAGAATCCAGCTTACAGTGGGATGTTAAAACCAAGCTCTGCTGCTGTTTTTCAGAAGCATAGCATCTTCCCCGGTGCGTACATAAGTACTGTGTGGTAGGACTGACTCAAAGGGCAAGGTCTGGTTTGTATCTTGACATGGAGCATTTGCATCTTATTTTTAAGAGAACACACTAAAAGGAAAGTCAAGATCAGGTTTATGCTAATATGCTCGTACTGTAAGCTTCAGCTTGTAAGATAGGCATCTTGGTTAGAAAATGGGCTTGTTTGTAAGTTCGAGTCAGTATTCAACTTAATTCAACACTTGGTTCCACCTGATGAATTAGAGTTTTAGCACAAATTTCAGGCTGTAAGAGCGGTGGTGCAGGGTAGGGGGCTTGTGGAGGCTTTTAATCCAGGTTTACCTCAGTCCTTATTTTCTGAGCTTGCTCAAAATTTCAGTTTCATGTGAAGGATTTGTATGCCTAGCAACTGAGTCACTAGCCAAGCTGAGGTTTGAGAGGCACTTCAGTGAAGTGTGAAAGCTTCTGTCCCTGTTCACACGCACACTAAACATCTATTGTGTAGGGGTGGCCTCCAAGATACGGGAAGTGGCTGTTTGTTGGTAGTCAAGAGGCATTCCTTTTGTATCCATTCAGAAGGAAGCATAAAATGTTGGTTTTTTCTTTAGTAGAGATGAAGATGACATAAATGATGTGACTTCTATGGCTGGGGTCAGTCTTAACGAGGAGAACGCGTGCATTTTGGCAACAAACTCTGAGCTTATTGGAACAGTGATCCGCTCTTGTGCAGATGAACCTTTTCTCTCCTCGGAAGTGCTTCAGAAGAAGATCTTGAACATAGGTGAGAACAAAGCGTACGTAACAAATATGTGTGGATATAGTATTTCCTTGCCTGTTACATCAGCCAGCCTCCAATCTTTGAAGAAGGAGCTGGAACTATTAAGATCTGCCATCTAAATTAATGTTTTTTCTACCAAAATATACTGTTTTTACTTCCCCTTGTAGGAAACAACTGTTCTCTAAGTTTTTACCTAGAAATAGTCTGAAGCACAACCAGAAAAAAAAATCGGTGCCACTTTTACATGTGAGAACTGAGCAACTTTATTACTCTTAATGGAGCACACAACAGCCATATAGATGCTAGTGTCAAATCAAACACTTAAGTGTGCTTTTCTATTTCTGCAGCACTTAACTTGATGCATTACACTGAGCTTCCTAACAGCTTTTGCATTTCTCAGCCTGTTCATATACAGGTACTCTGTTGACCAACATTACAGATCCTGCCCATGTGAATAGGAGGAAGTTTCAAACTACCAATATGTACAGGGCAGACCTTTGTTTATGACTCCCTTTATGGAAAAACATTTAATTATTTTATGCAAAAGAGATGGTAAAGCTGTTTGTATTGGTTAATAATACTGTGGAATGTATATTGAATGGCTGAGACTAAGCTGTAATAGGAAGTTTCTAGTGTTTGTATCATCTCAGCTGTTAGTTTCTGAGCAAAATAATAACTGTTGCTTAGCAATGTTACATTATGTCAGAGCAGGGAGCATGCATTTGTATAGCACCACACTGATTGGTACCACTGCTGTCTACAGTGAACTGGGTGAATGTTGCTCAACTCCTTGCTCGTGCTCTCTGGCTGGTAGCTTGCCACACTGGAACAGTGAGTTTTACAGCTGAACATTCAAGAGGGTCTGCAGTTCATATGTGCAGTCATAATTCTGTCACAGTGGTTTAACTACTTGATTGCAAAGTCTTCCTACATGCAACTTGTTCTTAGTCCAAACTAAGCAGCTAGCCTGTGACGAGCATGTAACCTGCAAATGTGATCTGCTACCTCAGTACATCCTGCATCAGTTAGCCAGATGTGCCACCCGAGCTGTGTGGGGCATAGCTGAGTGAAGTAAGTGCTGTGCTACTAGGGGAAAAGGGAAAGTAGACATTGAAACTGGTGCCTAGAAGCTTTTCTCAAAATTCAGTAGAGAGTTAAACAGTTACCTGTGGGAAGTAGATACAAGGAAAAATACAGGGTTCTACAAAGACATAAAGAGAAAGTACTTTAGAATATTTGTCTGGTTTGGAGTGGGAAGACAATTCATTGAAAGATGGAAAATACAAGTCTGGCTGTTTCATGGCTGTCATGGTAGCTGTTTCACATTAATAATAACAATTCATGTCGTAAATGAAACACGTTTTGATTGTGAGGAAAGGAATGCTGTCAGGGAGTACAGCAATTCAGAAAATGAATGCTTCTGCTCTTGCACTGAGCCCTCTTTGTTTTAGGAAGTGTGTGTGTGTGTGTGTGTGGAGGGAGGTCTTGAGGTTTGGGGGGATTTTGTTTTGTCTTTAAGCTGATGTTTCAGTATTCTGGTAGTATAGTGGGAAACTGATGAGGAAGTGTTGAAAGGTGATTGAACAAAATGAGCTTTGCACTCAGCTAAGGTATAGGCCAATGCTTACTGGCCAAGATCAAATAGTGAGAACACTTTGACTATATCTGGGAAAGCATAGATTCTTCCTGTCTTGCGAGATTGTTATTTGTTTTCAGTTAGAGTGGCAAAGGCAAATGAAATAGGTGATTAGGTTTTTTTTTTTTTTTACAGTATACTGTTTATCCATTCTTAACACTCCACTTGGCAATAAATACTGAAATGTGTTTTGAAGGCGTGCTGTATATTGCATCATAAAGTATTACAGCCACTGTAAATGCAGTGAGGGGCAAGGAAAAGCGCTTCTGACGGGTACGGTGTGTGAAGCATGTGAAACTGCTGCCTGCTGTGCCTACCAGGGAAATGTTGCTGCCATTCAGGTGTCCTGATGGAGCTGTGTTGAGTGATCGATGGTGTCAACCATGGGAAGGCTTCTCTGTCGGCAGCCTGCAGCCGCGGGAAGGTGGCGGAGGTGATGCCCAGCTCTGGGCACGGGGCTGGGGCAGCTTTGCCCGGAGCCGTCACCAGCCTCAGTCTCAGCTGCTAAAACACAGAGAGGCAGAGTCAGCCCGAGAGAAAAGGTTGAAGGTGATGGCATGATGAGCCTGACTGGGCTTGATCTGTGTTGTCCGAGCTGCTGCAGTGCGATGGCTGGGTCGGCCTGCCCCGTGCCAGCCGGCAGAGGCAGGTGGGAGGGTCCCGTGTGCCTGGAGTACACTGCAAAAACCATCCCTGCTCATCGAATAAATGTCATGAGTTGTTAACAAGCACAGTGTCAAGCAGGGCAGAATGTAATTCTCTATTTTTTTTAATTACTGGAATTAACAGAATATGGCACTAATTTCTACAGCTACCACTTCTCCCCCTCCCCGAACATGAAGCTTGATTTGTGTTCTTATTAACTTTGTCCTATAAATGACCTTGCAAGGAGAGTGGTTCTGGAGGCTAAGTGAAACAATGTCTATATTTTCTGAAGCTCCAGGCTAAGTTTTATTAATGTAATGTCTGAGATCTTTGAAGTTGTGACTTTACCAGGAAAATCATAATCTCCAAACCTTTATTCATAATGGGTATGACTTCCAGGGGGAACAGAATACCTGCTGTGCTAATTATTTCAATTATCAGCCACTACTAAAACACGTAATGGATTTTCTCTGCTTCCACAGGTAAAAGGCATGACATTATGGAACTTAACTCTGATGTTGTGAACTTGATCTCCCACGCTACACAGGAGAGACTACGAGGGCTCCTAGAAAAACTAACTGTAATTGCTCAGCACAGAGTATCAACCCATAAGGTAAAGGAAATCATTAAGCAAGTTTTGCACCAAAGTTTTCCTGCTTTGCAGCCTTGAAGGTAAACCTCTTCCAAGTATAGGCACATCATATGCAGTATGTGCATTTTCAGTATCTACCAAAGGCTGGTTTTGTTTTAACTGTTTATAGCCTCTAACTATTCCTTACATTTTCTATTCAACTTGTTGGATAGGTGCTCTTAAAAGCCAGCATAAGAGTAAATGCATGCGTTTCTCCTTTTCCATAGAAGCAGTGGCTGTTATACAAAATCTGGATTAGAATGGTTTTGGTGGTCGGGTTGATTTATAGATTTGTGTTTGCTTTATGCATTTACTGTTGGTGGAACTGCAGTACTGGCTGAGTCAAAAGCCTTGGGAAACTGAATTGAGTATTTTGTTTTTAGGAAGTGCTCCAAGTGAGGGCAGAGACCCCTTTGATCTTACAAGTTTCTGGAACTTTTTTTCCCATCAGTGCTACTTGAGAGGGAGGGGAGGGAACCCTGTATTATCTCCATTCCATAGAAAGTATATTGGGTTCTGGTGAGGCAGTGTCCCTTAAGATGCACATATGGTACAAATGGGAAGCAATAGCTTACTAGTAGCCAGAATAGCTCTTTGAGGCTTTTTTTTTGTCATTCAGTAACAAGATACTAGTCCTTACTTTTTTCACTATCAAGCTGTTTTAGAAAAATATTGGAAGTTAGAAGCAGATGTATCTGTCAACTGTTAAGTTTTTGTTTGTTTCACGTTTTTTTTTACAGGAACTTTATGCTTAATGAAATTTAACAAGAGCAGCTAACTGATGGGATAGGAGTTATTTTTGTACTGAATAATTTTTATAGGCTTTTAAGCACTGGAGAAGCAGTAGTAAAGAGCAGGAACTATTTGGAAACTTCCAAGTATTTATAATGATGTCTGGAGCAGTTGGAGTATGCTGTTCCTTGCCAGAAGATGATGCAGTAGAAAAAAAAATCAATATAGAAAAAGTATAGTTTTTTATGAGAAGTCTTTAGAAATCTGGACATGTTCTGTGTTGTCTTTCCAAAGCGGGAGATCCAATAGAGCTTGTAAGCAAAAGTGAGGTGGAAGCTGAAGTCCTGAGTAATCAGTAGGACTTGGTGTCTTTCAGACACCAGGGACACAAGGGAATGTTTTTGGACAGTGGGTTTGATAGGACTGATTTCTTCCTCATTGAACAAAAGCAATAGAAAAACTGATAGTTTTTGTCTGATTGAATTGCCAGAAGCAATGATAGGATTGTATGACTGCAATAAGCTTGCTTTCTTTTCCTCTTCTCTCAAAAACAAACAAATAAACAAAAAAGTAATGGGCATAATAATCCTAGAGGCACAAGTGTCCTCTTTTGTTAGGAAGATGGTATTATACTACGGAGGAGTGTCCTACAAGATTGCATTTGTGAGTAATATTATTGAGAGAGATGCTGACAAGCTTTTAGAAATCTAAGTTCAAGAACAGAACACTACAGGGTTTTGGAGCCCTGTGATGTATTTATATATGTATTTACACAGCCCCATATTCCATCTCCCCCAGTCCTTGCCCCGTCCTCTTTTCCCCGTAGGCTATTGGTAGGTACCAGTGTGCAGTGTGGGCTCCATGTATTTCAGAGAATTATCCAGAACCTTTTCAAGAGGATTGGGTGGTTGCCCTGTATGTTTATTAGCCTATCTTCATTACAAAAAGACACACAGTAATAGGGATAGGTGTGGTGAAACCAAAGTAACTATTGTGAGGGTAGAAGTTGGTGTAAAAAGCCAGTACTTCATGGAATCATACTCTTGAAGCTCTTCTTCCCAGTTTGCTCAGCTCATGTCAAGCAGCTTACATCTGATGGGTAGCCCTGTAGAGAGAAAGAGAGTTGGCAGGGTAGAAGCTTCATACCATACCACCATGTAGACTTGCCAACTTTTGCCCTTTTTTTGATAAATACAAGAAGGGGGGGAAAAAAAAAGTATATAATTGGAAGTCATTAACTTAATTAGGATAAAATTATCATGGTGATCTCTTTATCTGAAGCAGGAATAGCCTTTCAGATTGTTGTAAGCTGATCTCTGTGCTGCAACTCTTCTTGCAGTGCCTTTATAGTACCTCAGTAAGACCATAAAAGCAATTAGCTAGCTGGTTTGGTTCCTCGGCAGCTTCCCTCCTATAATCTGGAGAACTGCCGAGATACGAGCGTACGTGTGATATAATATGATAACCAAGACCAGAATTAATAATGACAACTAAACAGTAGAGTACTTAAAAACCATTTTTGATGTAGATGGGCTCAGCACAACATGAGATGACTGCCATGCTCCTGTGTTTGGAGCTGGTGAGCACACGACTTGGAGAGGCATGGCATGGTGCTGTGCTGTAAACACTGCTCCATGAAAACATTTACCCTGTGTGCAGTAGCAGCCAAGCACTGCAACCCCAAACTGAATTATCTGGAGGGCAACATAGTGTGGCTGCTGCACTGGTTTAAGGGGTAAGCTCTAAATGTAGCGAAGGAGTGAGCAGGCCTAGATGTGAGAACAACCAGCCTCCCACCCACCCTGGACCGCCATCAAACTGCAGCATGCCGAAGAACTTACCACAAGCTTTTCTGTTATTGACTTGGTTTAGGGGTTGACTATATAAAATCTAAAGCTTAATAGGTTCCCACATAGTAGCTGAGCCTCTGCAATGAACTGCCTGTGTTCCCGCTCTGTCTTCATCAAGGCTGTTCAACATGACTTAAACTGTTCAGATTTTGTTGGATTCTTCCAACTTCCTCCTGGTGGACTGAAGTGGAGTGCAGGTTCCTTGTATGTGGGTTTTTCCTTTCTGCCCCTGGATATGCAATACATTCCTGGTGCTGAACCGCCTTAGACAGGTTTCAGATTCATTTACAGGTATGTGATAATCTAGGAAGGAAGTTGCAAATCCCACACAAGGTGTATAACTGGTCTTGAATTTGTTGTCAGCTCTCTTCTCACTAAAGACATACCTGGGAACGCTTTGCTTCAGTGCTGCATGTTTCAAATATGTGTAAACCTGATGTAAAAATTTTGGTAGAAATCGGCTGTGCTTTAGAGCACATCTGTGGAGAAGTCTTGAGTGTATGCATTTCTCTTGGAGGAAAAAAAAAAGTGTGGAAGAATTAATTTTATAACAAGATTGTATAGATGCACTAATGTGCTATTGTTGTGTGAAAGCGATAGCTTCTTTCTGGGTAGCACAAAAACTTTATTTCACTTCTGGTGATTAAACTCCAGATTAAATTTAGCTCAGTTAAAGTAGAAATTACTTTTTTAACTGTAAGATACACAAGTTCAGCTATGGTCCATAGAAATCTAACAGTGCTCTGTATTGTGGTTATGTGCTTTATCTATCAGTAACTTCAATTCTGGCCTCAATTACACTTGTAAGTTCAGTTTTGTTGGGATTGCACAGTTGTAGCTGGGGACAGTTTGACCATATGTGAGGAAGTTGAACTGTTATATGGACAAACACTGAATCCAACTTGCTTCAGATAGTAATGGCTATAAGTTCTGAATAGGTATGCAATATAATGTTTTCTGTCTAAGCAATTCAGTGCTAAATGATCACAGAGAACAAGTTCATTGAGTAGTACAGAGTATAACTGCAGGTGTTCCTCTTCTAAAAATTCCAGAAATAAGGTATCTTAAATTTAGTTGTTGATGAGTTGAAATACTGTTATGGATGCACTGATTTCCTGTCCCATATAAGCTCATAGTAGTGCATTGGATTGCTTCTGGTTGAGAGACCCTATGCCTAATTGGCATTGGATTTGGCTTTAAAAATGTGAGTATCTGACTCTGACTTTGGGCATTCCAAAGCGAAACACTTGTAAACTTTGGAAAAAATAATCTTCTGGTAACACAGCTTTCTTTGTCCTTTTAAAAGGATCACAGCATGTTTGTGAATTATTATAAACTGCTGCTTTGAAACAAATTGTACTAATGTACTGAGACTGACTCAAAATAATGTATGTTTTGTGGGGAGCTGTGTAAAAAACAAATCCTCGAGCAGTAACAGAAGAGGGGGAAAAGGTTTGTTGGACACTTTTCAGAGCCACAGACTCTGCTTGGGAAAGAAAGGCTCCTTGGTTGCAACACGTGGTGTGATCTGAGCCACCACTAGTGATACGTGACAATGTGGTGGCTCATTGGAAAGGACCAAACTTAATACCAGAAGAGGGATTGACTTCATGCTCTGGCTGGGTTGTGAGAATTCATATTGGGAGACAATGGTGCCCCACAAGAAGACTTTTACTTTCCTTCCGGCTTCTAAAAGTATATGACTGGGTGTGGGAAGAAGAGTCTGAGTATACTGTATTTGAAAACTAAAAATTTAGCAGCGGAAGTCACTGATAGTCTATTTACTTAAAATATACCCTTGCCTTAAATATAGCTGCAAAATATGCTGTGCTTATTCCAGAATAGTTGTGTGTTGACGTTGCTTCATTAAAGTGTGAGACTGGGGTAGGGTAGAAAGAAGTGTTGTTGAAAGTATATAGAAGGTTTGGCTGGTAAAAGCCCAAGGATCAGTTTCTCAGGAAAAGACAAGCTTGCAAAGTAACAGAGAAAGAAGATGACTCTAGGACATGCATTAAAGAGTGGTACAAACAGGTGGCAGAGACATGTCTCATCTGGAATAGGCTCCCTGCCTTGTTTTGCCTAATGCCCTCTGGCCAATGCATGGCTTAAATAGCCTGGTTTTGGAAGAGCAGAATAGTAAAACCAAACTTTTCATTGCTAGTTGACCCATGTTTTAGATCTTTCCTTTCTCTGCCATCTTTCCTATCTAAAGTGAACCTAAACTCAGACTTTCCAGTGAGAGCAAAAATAGTATGAAAAATAAACTACTGATTGTTATTTTTTACATCAAAAGAACTACTGTCTTGTTTTGATTCATGTGTGTCCCGTTATTGTTGGAACTATTCATTAGTATTCACTGGCCCAGCTTTGCACAGTGGGCTGACCCAGATGACTTCCACAAGTCATCTTTCAACATAAAGTATTACATTACTTGAAAGCATCCACTGAGGCAAAAATATGTATTCCTAAAACTATAATAAACCATATGTAATTTATGTCACTTTCCCACCCCCAAGATTCATTATAACTAGTTCTAAACCACCCCCCTCCCCATTCCATAAAACCTCTTTTTGGAAATGCCAGGTATGGTTTATTTCAAATTCTGGACTAAATGGCTGAAACTAGAACACCAAACACTAGAAACTTAAAATGTCTTTTTTTTTTTTTTCTTCACCCTTTTCTCTTTAAATGGGAAAGGATATGATGTTCTACTGCTTTACAATTCTTTTTTTTCCTCTTAACCTGTCCAGAAGACAGTCTTGTACATATGTTTACTGGATATGAAGCTACTGTTTAAAACAAAATTTTAGCCTTTAGACTTAGACTTTATTGTTGTTACAGTCAATATAGACTAGATGTTGTTAATGTCACTTGTTCAGTAACATCTTTCTAGTCACACGTGCCAGGAAACATGCTTCAGTGGAGAGGAAATGTGTAAATGACTACCTATGACCTACACTTTTCAGCTTTGAAAAAACACTGTTGTTCTTTTTAGGTTGTTCCCATTGGGTTTATTAGCTGTAGTGGTGTATCTAAAAGTCTGGTTGTCTGTAACAAACTTCTCTTTCCAGGAGAGTGACAGATATATTGTATCTAGTGACACTAGAGCACAGCTGAGATTTCTTGAAAAGCTTGATCACCTAGAAAAGCAGAGAAAGATTGAAGAGGAACGTGAAATGTTGCTTCGAGCAGCCAAGGTAAGAACTTAACTTCTAGCTCTCCAAGGAATTAGTGCTGTCCTTTAGACTGGTGAACATATTCAGGTTTCTCCTATTTCTGCTTTAAATGTAGTAACCATTAACCCTGTAACTGGAAATCTGTAATGTTTAGGATAGCTTAGGCTATAGAGAAAAGAGGTTTAGCTTTTTACATTATTTAAAAAAATCACAGGAGTTCTTTCAGATGTGTGGTGGGGTGGACTCTTCTTTTGAGATTATTCCTACTGGTCAAAATTAAATAAAAGAAGTATTCACATAGCTGTAAACGTCCTTCCTGGCTCTATTTCTGGATCTGGAATTGGTATATCTTTCTTCATATTTGTGTATGGCACTGTTTGAAAATATGGGTTCACTATGTATGTTCAAGCTGGAGCCTGGTGAGACCCACCACCCTGCCAGATGTATTAACCTTCTGTAGTCAGATTAGAGGGCTAGCCTTGGAGCTGGTACCCTAGCATCTGCGAGCTCCTGATGGAGCCACTCCTAGTACAGAATAAGTACCATTCTTCCCCCTTCCCTCAAGAACAGGAGAAAAAAAAAATCAATAGATGTTGCTCCATCAGATGTGACTTGATCATCTTCTGTTTGTTGGTTTTTTGGTTTGGAGTCAAGTTGAGTTCTGGAGCCCCTTGAGTGGACACCTAATCTAGACTTGAAAGAACTGTTGTACTTGCAGGAGTATGACTCCCTTTCTTATACTTCCTGTTCTTTTTAAGTGTCTGCTGCAGACATGAACAACATCATGCCTAGACTGGACCTGACTGACAGTGTTAGCATCATTTTCGGCTTAATCTTGCTTCAGGCTAGAGCAGAGGCAGCCAGCCCAGATGAGGAGGGGGTGTGCGTATGTGTGTGGAGGGGGAGGGAAGCCAGTCTGGATTGAGGCATTCACCCCTGGAGCTAAATCTTTCAATCACCAGAGAAAATTGTCATTTATTAAATATTTAACAGATACTACGGTGTTTGGATGCCAGTATTTTCTATTCAATCTTTTTCCTCTTCCTTCGGTAGAGCCGTTCCAATAAAGAAGATCCAGAGCAACTGCGGTTAAAGCAGAAAGCGAAAGAGGTAGGACTTTCCAGTTACCATGCTTGCCTTTGTGTGTTGAGAGAAGGTTGGCAGCCCTGTCCTGGCAATTAGGTCAGGGTTTATTTTGCTGCTGCATACCATTTGCAGAGGCCTTGGGGAAGGACAGGAACTGCCACAGGCAAGGGCAGTGCTTCAAATGAGGTCAATGAATTATGAGCTCTCTTTTTTAACATTTTATTTTCGTAGTTTCAGTCCTGTCTAGAAATGGTCCTTTGTAAACTGCAGCAGTACACTTGGTAGGAATATAATGTGGGATTAGAGAGGAAAAAAAAAAAAAAAAAAAGAAACTTTGAGATTTAGCATCTGGGACTGTACAATAGGCTACATTTTTCCAGGGTAATTGTTCGTTTTGTAAATCTGATACTGCTTATAATTCTTTGGCTGGGAGGCGGTACTGGGATTTAGTTTTAAATGGAAAACGCCTCTGGCTTTTAATTTTCTGGGCCCAGCAGTTTTCTGTTCTGGAATGGAGCCCTTGTTTCACACAGTTCATGTTTAGCTGCAGGGGTTTTAGTTTATAGCTTAGACTGGTTAAGCTTTTACTCCCAGAGGCCTCTGCATAGCAACTGTAGAAATCAACAAATAAGTTCATTTATGTCTGCAGCCTCCTCTCAGTAGCTGACTTTTTACATTTCCCAATATCCATTTCCTGACTTTTCTAGCCTGAGAGAAAAAAGCTCCACTAATTGGAGCTTATTTTAATTGAGCCTTAATATTGGATCTCACTGGAGTTGCCCCCAGAGCTACTGGGAACAGAATGAAATGAAAGTACCTAAGGTTGAAGATGTGTGTGCATGTGTATGTGTGTGAAATTTTTCACTTGACCTACAGATTCTTTTCCCTGCTGAATAAATCATCAAGCCTGTTCACATTTCTGATTAAGGATCTGACAGCAGACGATAATAAAGACAATTGAGGTGTGAGACGTGTGATACAGAGCTGAAGAAATTGGTTTCTATAGTTACTTGACTGATTTCATGCAATTTTTAAGGATCTTTGTGCTAAATGAGAGTGATTTTCTGAGCAACCTTTTTCCTTAACTGTGCCTCTTGAACTATGAAATTTGTTGTTGCTTAACATTGCTGCACTTGGCTCCTAGGTGCCAGCAGCAGCAGCAGGTTATTTATGAATGCTTTAAAGTCCCTTATTGTTTGGATTAATGTAGGAGCCCAGGCAAAACAAATGGAAATCCAGTAAAATAGTATTAGAATCAATGCTCTGGATTTGCACCATAGTAGAAGAAATTTGTAAAATAAGAGGAGAGAGAAGGAACTTGCTTTACTATCTATCAATTAATTCTTTCTTTCTACTTACAACTCTTTCTTCATGCTTGCAATCTGTGAGTACAAAGTTGCCCTAAAGCTCTTCCCAGTTTGCCTCTAGTGGCACCAGGATCAACAATCAGTGGGTGATGCTAATTTGTCTTGTTTTGTAGGTGGCTTTACCTCTGCATCATCTGGTCATTTTTAGAGGTTCTTTCTTTTAATAAAACACTGCAAAGTGATACATTTATGCAGCTTCTTTTCTCTTTTCTTCTGAACAATAATGTGTAGGATCTTGAAAAATATTCTGTGATCTGGATATTTAGAACAGAAGGAAGTTAGGTGTGTGGTTTGGGTCTTTTTTTAGGTTGGTTGGTACTGTTAATGAAATCTCTTTAATCTCTTGTTAATGAAATTTCTTTTAAAAAGTGGCATATAGGTGTAGAGAAAAGGACCCAACAGAGCAGAGGCAGCATCTAAGTTTAGCACTTGGTGTTCTACTAAGTGCTTGACTTCACCTCCTTAAGTGCATCTTATCTTGTGCCAGACTAACACAGCCTTCATTGCACTTGTCGTGCATATTTTTCCATGCTGTGCTGCTCCCACAGCAACAGTCTCCAACTGCTTCACCAAAAGAAGAGGAGGCAGATGTGCCTTTTGGGACAACACAGATCTTTGTGTCAGTTGGTATTGCCTTGTCCTTTGTCCTGCTGCTTTGTTCTCTGGAGAGTGAGGCAGCCAGAACTTCTCTAGGCTTCACATTTCACATGGGGATACCTACCTTCTGTGCCTCTCTTATCTGTGAGACCATCTTAAGCTAGAGTGGAAGTGAGCCCAAATGCAACTGGTCAGTTTGGCACTCTATTGACAGCTTGGTGATAAATGGTCAGCACACTTTTGCATTAAAAAATGCAAACATGACTAGAGCTGGAATAAGAACAAAATAAAAATTGACATATATCCGAAGGCTGAAACTGGTAACACAGAAGCACAGTGTATACTGGGATGAAAGCCTGAGGTGCTTACCATTGTCTGTCTGTCCTGTTGTGTTGGGAGTGTAGCCTGCTCCTAAGAAGCCACTCGGGAATTTTGATACCTCTGTCAGCTGGAACTGGACCCTTTCCAGACCACTCCGAGTATCCTCTGGAAAGCCTGATCTGATCCACTTAAAGTTCTTTAAGAATGAATATGGGCCTTCCTTTTTCAAATCCATGTTTTATGTGTTGATGGTGACCCCAGGAGAAGGAAGAGGGGGTGGGGTAATGGCACTGGAGCATGTTCTAAAGCATTATTTCCCAAAATGCAAAGTCTATATCCTAACAATGAATACTCATCAATCCAGGATGTGCTGTCATCCAGCAGCTGGAGGCAACATCTTAACATTGCTGGAAGTACATCCAGAGACTCAGCAGTGGATTCTTTTATCCAAAAGGCTATATATAATTGCTGTGACCTTTTCATCCCTTTTTGCATGACCTATTGCCTCAAACCTCCCCTATGCTAAGTCATTTACTTTCCTATATTCTTAGTCTACGTAGCTTGCTCTGAATTACATCTATTTACTTCCACCTTTCACCTGTTTCAGCAGATTTTAATACATATAGAAAGTGCGCATTCCTTCTGAGACAGCTTCAAGGCTTGCCGCAAGCTGCGCCTTTGTGCACTCAAGAATTTTGTCCTTGCTCACCTCATGGGCCAGCTCTTTGTGCAACGGTGTTCCTGAAGTCTGGGTAAATTACCCCTGCTGTTCATTCAGCCTTATCTGTCACTTCAAGCTGAGAGGACACAGTCCTTGCATTGTCCCTGATGCTTGCACTTTTAAGCCATAACTTTTTTTAGGTGCTTTCTGCTATTTTCTGTTGTACTTTCAACTATACTTCCAATCACAAAGAAAATGTTCAGTTGATGCAATTCTTGTAGCTGTATTTATAGTTTATCTCTGGATTCATCCCTTTTCTGAAACGAGCTTACTTAAATTGAGTAGGTGTAGGATGCTGTCAAATGCACAAGCACACCATATGAACAGTGAATCCCAGGAGACCTGTAAAAATGTCAGTATTAAACCACGTATACTCTAAATTTAAATATAAACCCTGATCTTTTGTAATTCTGTCTCTCATCTTCAAAAATGAGTATGCTTGTAGGATGGCTTCAGGAAGCTTAAGGCTGAGGCTGAAGAAACCTTTCAGGTTATATGTGTGCAAGATTGCTGCTTGGGGTTGAGCAGGTGAACAGGTGTTGTACCGATAGCATCTTTGCTCATTCCATGGTAGTTACCTTCATCTCTGCTCTTAACTTGTGGACCTTGCAGCATTTGTTGGTGGATAAAGGTGAGCAGCTGTGTCTTGAACTAGGGGAAGGAGTGTGTGGAGCAAGCACCTGATGGACAGCAGGCTTGCCTGCCCCATTCATTCCTTGCTCGTCCAGCAGCTCTATTCACTTACGGCTGCACAGGTCTTCCCAGTCCCATGTTCCTGCCTGCTTGACGCAGTTGTGCATTTTACTGTTGTGAGTTTGTCACAGACGTCACAAGACGGCAGTAGATGAGACGCTGAGAAAATTCAATACCTTTTAGTATCAACTGACTGGGAGGAAAATAGCAAACCCTGGGGTTTTTTGTAGAGACAAAACAAACCCTATCAAAAACATCAAACACAAAGTCTGCATGATTCCAATGAGTTCCTGGGTGTTACATAGTTATTAACTGAATTTTAGTTGTTCTGTAGTATCTTTTTTTCAAAAATCATCTTTTTTTAATTTTCTATTTCGTCTGTCCATCCTAACTCTTTGCCAAATTTCTTCTCACATTCTCAGATAAAAAGTAACTGTAACCTGATTCTATGCTGTTCTCCCTACCGTCTCCAACCCACATTTTCAAGCTGTTTGTTTACTTTTCCCCCCATGCCTCTTGTGCTGCTTCTGTATTTAGTCTTCTGGACCTAATGGTTCAAATTCTTTAAGACCACTCTCATGGCAGGGGAAAAGGAAACTCCCTAGTTAACCATAACCTCTCAAAAAAGCAAACAAGATGCTGCGAGCAAAATAAGATCTCATCGCGATCAATTGACTTTTTATGAGTCTTCAGTGACAACCTGAGAGCTTCTGCTTAATTATCTGATTTATATCATCATTATTGTTCTGTAGTGTTCCTTACCTGCTTCTACATGTTCTGAAAAAAAAGCATGATTATTGAACAGACGTAAATTTTGTTACCCTGCAGTGTAGCCCTTCAAATAACAAAGGACTATCCTCAGAGATTCAGTGTGTTACAAGTCTTGCAGAAAGTCAGGGATGGAAATCCTGTAAAGTGTTAGATTGAGCCAACTAAAAAGTGAACCAAATTCCTGTTTATGTGGAAATCGTATTGGTATTCTGAAGGAACGTAAGAAAAGAGCAGCTGAGATTGTGTCGGATACCCTGAAACCAGCTGACTGGAAGACGATAGCAACTGTCTTTAGTGAAAAACAAAAGCTCCCCCAAACTCCATTAAGCCTGTTCATAGATTTTCAAATAACCTTTTCTAAGTTTCTCTGAAAGACTATAATGGACATGTAACCAACTGAAAATATAGCCTTGGATTAGAAATTTGCTAATAGAGGAAATGAGAGTGAGTGAATGAATACAGTGTAACAGCAGCTGAAAAGAATTCAAAATACCGTGCACTTGGAATAACCGTGATTGTTTTTAAAGTAATGTCTTGCAAGGGCTGGGCACTGC